AGCGCAAGAGAGAAGACCGCGCCGGCGCCCCCGCGTCTAAGAAACGAGGTGTCGATGGAGACGGAGATGCGGGCGCAAAGAGTGGCAAGAAGAAGACTAGAGAGCCGTCGGTTTCGGGAAGCGACATCGATGAGGATGAGCTCAGTGGCGCATCAGGTTTGTCGGAGGAGGAAAGTGGCTCGGATTCCGACGAGGGAGAGACAGCCGGAGACCGGAGATTGAAGCTTGCGGAGCGGTACTTGGAGAATGTCCGGGATGAGGTTGAGGACTATGGCTTTGATGCAGCCGAGATCGATCGTGACTTGATCGCAGAAAGGCTGAAGGAGGATGTTGTATGTATCCATAGACTCATTCCGCTCCTGTTCGGCTGGTCGGGCGTTTTACATGCAGAGCTGACGAGAATTTCAGGATGAATTCAAAGGACGCGTTTATCGTCAGATCGCCTCCGAATTGGCCTTCTCGACGGCCTCCCATACCTTCTTCCGGGCAGATACGCAATCAACTACGTCAATTGCAGTCCACGCGCCATATGTTTACACCGTTTCGAAGGACAAGACCCTGATTAAATGGGAACTCGCCACACCCACCTCCACGACCCCTACGACAAACGGAGAAACTTCCAAACGTCCCCCAGCCCCCCAACGGAAGAAGCCAAAGCAGGTCAGGTTTGTGCGGGGCTTGCGAAAGGTTGCGGAGACCGGAGAAGAACATGGCCATACCAAGAACATCTTGTCTGTCGCAGTGTCGCCGTCCGGAAAATTTGTAGCCACGGGAGGACAAGACCGGAAACTCATTGTCTGGGATGCGGAGACTCTTACCCCCTTGAAGACCTTTACACAACATCGCGACGCTGTCAGTGGTCTTGCCTTTGCTCGTCATATATCTACCATGAGTTCCGGAGAGCAGCTCTTCTCTGGCTCTTATGACCGGACCATCAAGACCTGGTCTTTGAGTACAGCCGGTCATGCCTATGTTGAAACACTCTTCGGACATCAAGACCATGTTACGTCCGTCGCCGCCATGGCCATCGATCAGTGTGTCAGTGTGGGAGCACGCGATCGCACGGCCAGGTTGTGGAAGGTTATCGAGGAATCCCAATTGATCTTCCGTGGTGGCTCTAAAAGCGCCTCCTATCAAGAGAACAACATTGATTGTGTAGCGCCGTTACCTCCTAACCACTTCGTTACGGGATCGGACTCGGGTTCCATCTCTCTCTGGTCCGTTCACAAGAAGAAGCCGCTTCACACGATCCCTCACGCACACGGCCTCGACCCCTTACCTCCACTGGACGAACTCTCCTCGGAAGTCAACCAGGAAACCGCAGCACACAACTCCCGTCACCTCCGGCGCATGCCCCGCTGGATCACCGCTCTGACTACCCTTCCAGGCACAGATGTCGTTCTTAGTGGCAGCTGGGATGGCTTCATCCGGGCCTGGAAGATCTCGGAAGATAAAAAGACTATCGTTGCCCTGGGCCCTATCGGAGCAGGATCCAGCATCCCGCTAACTCCTGATACCCCATCCGAGCAACTAAAGCAGACCCTCGCTTTCGACACACCAATGAGCCCGGATCACATGGCAGTCGACGGTGCGCCGGCCCAGCAGGCCGAGGAGGAAGCCGAACCGCTGATCAAGGGTGTTGTCAACGACATTGCCGTATTCGAGCGTCGCGCAGAAACCGCCAAACCAGGCCAAGCGCCAGCGGAACCCAAGCCCAAGTCCAGGACCAACAACAAGCCGTCTGCGCCCGAGCAACATGGGCTCTGCATCGTAGCCGCTGTTGGCAAGGAACATCGGCTAGCAAGGTTCAAATGCTTCTCCAACAATTTCCATGACGGTCCCACCGCAGACGGTCGGAACGGCGCCGTGGTGTTCGAAGTACCATTCATCTCCGAAAAATCGAAATGATCGAATCGAGGCGCTGAATGACTAACTGATCTTGGTGACGGCGCTGGACGGCTGTATGCAATGTAGTGAAAACAAGGCGTCTGTGCATTCTATATCTCCTTCTATTTTATGCATGTATCTTTTATTCCCGGGCCGGTGGTCTCTGCATATTGCTTTCAAAAGTTCGCATTAGACGAGGTATTTTTCTGTTCTACTATCTCTCTAATCTCCGTGATTTAGCCGGTTTTTGTACGATGTATATACTTTGAACATGACGATTCTCTTAAATGACTCCTCTCCTACTACTACTAGTATTATCACTACTCATCACAAAACATCCACCCCCGAACCAAATCGAACCAACCGAACTAACCCCAACAAAACCATCATTATGTATTACTTACTGACAAGTCCTTCCCTTCAACCCACAACATAAGCGCCGAGCGTGACAATGACCCTGTCCCCTGCAGGCCACTAAGTCTAGCTTGTCTAGCAAGCGGGTTCAATAATTCCCCGGCGCTAAAGCCGGCGACTAGACTGAAGGCAGATAGGGATATCTGCCTAGTGCCTAGAGCCCTAGACTAGATACTATTTAGTGGACTCCGCGAGTTGGGCGGGGCATGCTGCATACGTAGTTACTAAGTTTAGCTCAATAATACCACTGCTACTATTATTATGATTTACGGCTATGGTTTAGGATCAGACGCAGTGAATATTTACCCGTATGTCGGCCGGGAAGGACTAAGGGTTATTCATGTAGTACTAAATGCTGTGACGCGCGCACGCGAATGTGCGCGGTTAGGATTGGAATTTGGGGAGAGGTAGGTGGTAGTACTAGTATGTCATGCCGGGCGAGCCGGGGAAGGATGCAGTGTGGAATTGTTTAGTAGTATGGTGGTGGGTGTCGTGTCGTGCTGGCTTTGGGGTTTTCGTGGCTGGGAGGGTGGAGGATGGGTGTTCTATTCTATTCTATTGATATACTAGTAAATACTGCTTGGTCATGATTCACATATTCAGTGTGGGAAGTTTTGGTATGTATTGACTCAATCAATGAGATTGTCATTTCCTGCAATCTAGAATGATAGTAAAGCGGGAAAGAAGAAGATTAACAGAAGACTATGCCATAAGATGCTTGATGATACAAGTGCTCTTAAACAGAAATGTCATCGTAAACCGAACGTCGCCTGAAAACAACCTTTACCCAAGGTACTGAATGAGCAGCAAGAGACAAGAGATCGAAAACAGGGGTATTTTCAAATGGCCTGAGAGGGAAGTTTAAGCCTTGGTCGCGGGGATGATGCAACGTAGAATAGCACACGACTTCGTGTTTTCTCCGTGGTCGTAGATCAAATCGCCAGCTCGGTTGTTCGTGTGTATGTAGCAGGCCTAATATAGAAGGGTATAATTTCTTTTGGAGTCTCAAGGATGGGTGAACTAGCACCGCAGAATCAGGGGAAGTCGCAGATAATGGATGGATCATTAGGAAGTAATATCAATCGTCAATGGAATCGTAGATGAGATGTCGGAGCGCTTTAGTAGGCTGAGGGGCGGCGATGGCCCCTGTCTCTTGTCCGCCTAGTTGGTCGCACGGGGCCTTCGTCAGAATCGTCATCCACGCTGATTGCATCCATAACAGTAGACCCGGCGGACACTTGCTGTGGGAGCCGTCGATCATTGCGGGATCCTGCTTGGGATCTGGATTCACTGCGTCCTGAGACTGTACCAGAAGTCCCATTCTCGCAAGATGGAGAACTCGACTGTATTCGGTATGTTTGGATGCGATTGCGCCGCATGCCACCTGCAGGCGGCAGAATCGGATCCTCATCGTCGTCGTCATCATCATCGTCTTCGTCATCATGACTTTCATCATCCAGGCTCTCCTCGTCCAGGCTTTCCTCAGACATCTCATCAAAGGTTGACAGGTCAGTTCCGATAGTGTGGGTGATCGAGATCTCATGCCGCCCAACTACCGTGGATCGGTCAGATTCGGAATAATCATCGTGTTCCAAGTCATCGTCGATGAACGAATCCATGTCCGCATCCTCATCCTCCTCATCCATGTCGCTATCTTCCTCGTGAGCTGACGAGATTCCAGAAGGCCAGTCATAATGGTTCTGCCGGCGGAAAGGCCCATTTGCACGCATACCCGGAAGGTCGCCAGGAGCTAGGCCATACCATTGACGATAAAGTTGATCTATGTCGGCAGGTTGTATATCAAGGGGCAAGTGGTCATGGTTGGGGTCCCAACCATATTCGTCCGCATCTCCAAATCCATCTTCAATCTCATCATCCTCGTCCAAGTAGTCCGTCATTTCGGAATTTTCGTCTGACTCACTCCAGCCCGAACTGCCAGTCACAGACTCGTCATCTTGTCGATATCCGCACTGTGCACACCCTTCATCTTCCTCTAGCTCCCACGAACAACGTGGACAACGCACAACATTGTCCTCAAGGTCCACGATAGGTTGCGCGACTGGAATCTTCTTGTTGAACGTACCACGGAACAGTCCCCCCTCCCGCGGGTGTGTATTTGTTTTGTCTTTTTCCAGTCGTTCCGCTTCCTCGCGTTGATGATTTAGGTGTTCGACTGTGGTCTCGCCCTTATCAAGCAGCTCCGGGCGACTTGTGAACATTTGAACAACAGCGCGGACCTTGAGTACTTCGGTTAGTGCCTGTTGCGCATCGAATCAGAAATGAGCATGATGTCAGGGGCTTACCAAGTATGCGGGAGCAGGTTGCGCTTTTACCGGTGCTCGACAGTCCGGGCATGTCTTGTTGTGCCTCCCACCGACAAACCATGATGTTAAACACTAGAGCGAAAGGTTAGGCGCCAGAACTTATGAGTGTCGTCGATATTGGCGATACTGACACTATAACAAAAGGTATGTCCGCAGGCAAGGGTGTAGGGTTCATAAAGTGGTCGGATGCAAACGCCGCATTGAAGGAGAGAACGGATATCGTCGACATGGCTTTGCAGGGTTTCAAAGAGCTAGAGATGAGGGGAGGATATATCAGCGCACGAAAAGCTCGATTATAGGAAGGAAGCTTACCCCTGACGCGTTGTCTCCAGTATTGACATTTGGTGTGCTGGTGCTCTCAGAGCCATTGCTCAGGGCAGCTCCAGCGGGGGTAGGTTCGGACATGGTATGAGGATACACGGACCAGACGCTGGTGGTAACGGCCTTATATAGTAGAGAATCTGGTCTTTGTATCCGGCGCGACAAGTCCCGTCTCAGATACGGAAGGTGAACGGCTTGCGGTCGGGGAGGAAGGGGTTGGATACAAATAGTATGGATGGGAACTCTCAGGTACGCGCGAGGATTGCCGACATAACTGGGTCCGGACTTTTGCTATGGCAGAAGGAACTCCCCACCAAGCGCTGGAGTTTGACGCGACGGGGGAAGGGCGGCAGAGGTCGAGATGAGGTGCTGTTGGCCTGAAGATACCAGACGGTATGACCGGCACGAAGCAGAGAATGAAGGTTCGAAGGAAGAAAAGAGAAATATGATCTATGGCGATTGGTCTGGCCGGCGTGAGCATGATTTTCTGGTCGGGGAATCTGCGCGCAAACCGAACAAACAATGGGGCGGCGGATGATTGAGTGGATCCGTGGAAGAAGCCGAAACTCTACCTATCGTCGGGTCGATCCCATACATCACAAGTCCACAACCATCTCTACTCCGTACCTTCCAACAACATCTTTCCAACTTCCAACAAAGAAACAGGGAGAATCGGGACTGAATCCAGCCTGATTAGTTAGCAGACAAGGTTATGGGCTGTGATTTGTCCCTCTTCAGAGCTAGACGACCACCCTAACGGAAAACTAAGGCCGAAGGAGTAACCCGGCGCCGTCGCACCGTCGATACGCCAAATGTATCTCAACAGCTCTTTAGCTCTGTCATAAGTGGGCCACTTCGGGGTTATTACTGCAGTTGGTTCGAAATAACTTGCCCAGAAGTTATTCTAGTCAAGCAGTGAGATGGGGCCTGCTCCTGTCCCAACAGTTCTGATACTTCCGACAAGTTGGCCACCATCACCCTGTTCCAAATTAGTGCATTCACTTCGTATGTCCTGGCGCTTCAGTGAACCTTACGTGAGTATGCAGGGTACAACTTATTTGAATATAATGTGATGGCTTCCATTTCTCGTGGCAATAACTAGGCCAGCGTGTCTCCATCGTATGACAGAAAGGAACATGGCTAAATCCGCACATCAACAACCGTCTGCCACACTTATCTTATCTCCTCTACTCATACCCTAAACTATGGCTATCACCATCTAGCATTCTCTCATCACGGTTGTATAGGTTGAATCACAGCAATAGACATGGAGCTGGAACGAAGTCTCGTCTTCCAGACCCTTGGTGCGCACGGCTTCACCATGTTGTTCCTCTTCAATTGGCAACTGACTGCAGGTCATCTGCATGCGGTGCATTTACTAATACTTTAGCCAAGCAGCGCATGGCTCCGGCTTATGACTTGGTTCTAGCCGCTCTTGTTGCACTAAAGCGCTTGATAACCGCCTCAAGACCACCCACTTTCGGGTTATACCCCCGTAGCGGGTTACCCCCTACAAGAAGAGTGTCTCCTGACTATTTACTGATGTGTTTATGCAGGTTTGGATATAGTATGTATGAGGCGGGAGAATATGGGAGAGGTTGGAATTGATATCCTATCCGATTTAGAAATATTTTCTTTCTTTCGCGAGAATAAAATGGAGAGTAAAATGAGAGCGTTGGTCTTTCAGAGCCAGATTGAAGCGAAAGTGATAATTTTCAAATAACGAGGCTCAGCAGACGTAGCATTTGGTTGTTGCATCATTCGGCATCGGCAAGCGCCCGCTTACGCGAATGCTCGCGCTTCAAATCCTCCGAGATGAGATGGCTATCATCGAAGACGCCCTTGATCACTTTCTCGTCTTCCACAATTTCCTTATCCATATGTTCAAGGAAATTTATCTGCTCCCTAATGAAATTCTTGGCAGCACGCGTATCAAAAGTGCGCCGGGCTCTTTGCTGATCGCGCATGAGCCTATTGACGTCACGAAGACGCTCGCTAAGGAGCTCGAACCGGTATTCGGTGAACTGATGATACAATTCATTCAAATTTGAGATTGGGCGGACTGTTGTGAGAACGGTGTCATCTTTGACGGACGAGGCCCGAGGACGGAAGGACGTCACCATGGTGATTCGCTCCGTCGCTCCCAAAGCACGGAGTGCTTTGTGCTCAATGTAACGGCCTTGTAGGATGACCGCTGAACCCTAGGACAACTCATAAGCCTTGAGCTTGGGGGATCCAATTGTCATGTACTTACTTTCTGCGGTCCCCTTACTTTGACAATTTCGCCATTGCCCGTACGAAGGGCTGTTTCTCCTCCGATCATATTGGTGCAGTCCGACAGCATTGTCACGCAGACAAAGGGGTAGCTGTCAGTGTGCCAGTCGACTATGGCATCATCGTCGCTGGGCTTTACGGCAATGCCCTTACCCAACACCTCAGCTTTCTTCGGAGCATTATGCTTCTCCTCTTCGCTGTGGCCAGAGATGTTCACGTGTCCCAGCTCGAAGTCCATGACCGGGACGAGATCGACACCAGCAACCTTGGAAATTATGGCAAGAGTCTCTGGATTCTTCCAGGCATCATAAACAAATGGAGCGCACCTATTCCTATGTATCAGTCATGGCCTCCAATGGGGTGAAGGCTTCAATATTTACTCAGCTGCATATCCCCTGAGTTGGCATTGAGCGATCTCACTCGAGTACTTGTGGTTGGAATAGACCTCTTCGGTGAGGACTTCCTTGCGCATTTGCTCAATAGCTTCGGCCGAGAATAGTGGGAAGGGCTCGGAGACGCCAACAGGGGAAACTCCACGGCTGTTAGGGTAGCCGAGCTCAACCATAGTGTGGACCTTCGAAGGGGGCACAAAAGCCAGATGCTTGGACGGGTCGAATACCACATTGTTTGGCTCTGCAGTGGCATGTTCGATCTGGCAAGCCTCGCCGGCGATCTCGACGAGCTCATTAATGGCTGAGACCGGGCTGGCCATGCTAGAACCGACTGGGGCCATTGCTAAGGCTTGAGAGGATCCTGAGATAAAATTGGCAGAGAGGATGGTATTCGGTTACTTTGAGGGCGCTTAATGGTCTGTTACTTGCATGAACTGAGAGAAGCTGATGAGGAAAGAGAAGAGTTCAGGGGTGGCCAGGCATTTATACTCGAATCCAACAAACCTGCTCGTGGCAAGATCCGGATCCAAATAACTTCACTGTACGCTGAATCTTGACAAATCTGTGGGCTTCTCCAATATGTGAATTCTCTCTGAAGCTTGACAGCTGATAGCAAGCCCTAGCTATAGAAAAATACGCACGGTATGTTCCTTGGTCAGTGAAGGCATGTTAATGGATGCATGGGCAGATCGGAGCGTGCTAGTGGCTCGAGCATTGAGGGATTCCTTTTTCTTGGGGAATCTCTATTATGAAGTCCTCATATTCGGTGAGATCCTATGCGGCTGGTCATGAACATTAACTGGGCTCCGCTTTTCATACTGCTCGGTGGAAGCAACATGAACATCTTAGGCCTATAGCGGCAGCTGATGGAGATAGCCCGTGGACTGTTCCTGTGTTCGGTTTGGCACAGTGAATCCATAGCCAACCAAGATACCATTCTCATGATGGCCGTCCAATGTTTTGTTGGCCCTGGATTTGTCGGTGCTTTCAGTCACTGGGTAAATTCAGACAGAACAGACCCCCAATGGCAAGAAGTGGGCAGATAGTGATTGTGTCAACCAGTTTTGGAAAGCCAGACCAGGCAGCTTCCCAGCTGGTACTTGTGCGGCTAGCGCCGAGATATCTTACTACCTCATACCGATCCTGGCGCGTGCTTCTGGGTTTCCTGTTTTGAATTCCGGCTGCCAAAGGTTCGATTAGGGCACTCCAGGACCAGACAGGCACCGATGGATGTTATGGTTTGTCGGGATTGGGGGTTGAACGTATATTACGAGAGCTGCCAAATATCTACGCGCTAAGCCACTAGTAGTTGGGGATTTTTGACTTGATTCGGAATAAGTATTGGGATGGGTTTAGTTTTCCAGCTGGGCAGGTTATTTAGCAAGCTGGTGTGATTATCAGGTAACAGAGATCACCCCCTCTCTCACAGCCTTTAGCGGCCCTTGCGCTTTCCGCGCCCATACAGGTGTCATTTGATGTCTGTGGCCGATAAGGGGCATTTCGGAAGGACTGGCAATGGTCCTCGTATCCCGAAACGGGTCATATCCAAATGCATTCTTGCTTGACCCAATTAGAGCAACGGCACTGTAGATGCCCTCTGCGTGTGAGCAGTAAAGGTTGGAATACGTTTCGATAATTACGTCCACCGGCTGATTCGTATACCCGCAGTGGGTATGCAAACACAAATGGACACTGGGCTCATGATTCATATTATCTTATATTATACGGACGGTGTAGTGGGCGTGATGCATACTATCAGTGCTTGCATGTTTACAGGCTAGCTTCATTGTTCAACATTACTGTGATATGGCCAGATGGGGTTATCTCTTAGCATGGATGGGCTACCCAACGAAATAAGCAGACATGCCTTGTAACTGCCCCATCCTACCAATAGCTTTCTTTGGATATGATTTTCTTCCTCGAATCAGCAGCCTTTGTAGTAGCATGGGCAGGACCATGTGACGAACGGGAATAAAGTCAGACAGCATCTGCAACCAACATGTACGCTATCCGAAAACGCTACCAAGCTCTGCTGATCATCTTGACACTATCTGTAGAATAGTGCAGACGGGGGAGAAAGAAAAGCAAGCATATCCCGGAATGCCATGGCAATGAGCGGTAACCACTGCAGATGGCGTCCCAAAAAGATGCAGTACATGTCTTGGAGTCAGTCATTATTGTAATTGAGCCCCTCTGAACTCGTAATTACTCTGGGCTTAATCTCCATCTCTCTGGTATAATGCGTTGATGGCTCCACACTTCCAGGGCGAAAAGTACTTGAGAGCTTATAGTCCATCTTTCAGAATGGAATCGCTCGCAGCCGACCAACCTTAAGTCAGGACTGAAGCATTAGATCAGAACCTTTAGCTTTTAGGCAGGATCCGTAGTCTATATTCTCTCAACCGTGTGCGACATTCAACCGCATCAGTGGGATTCCATTTTAAGGTTCTCATAGTTCTCGGGGATGAGATCTCCACGCCAAGACTGGCGGGTCTGGATTTTCTTCCGGTCGCTTCGATTGGTACAACTACTGCCATCCTTAATCCTCATCAACATTCAACATCCACCCGCAATATCCCGGTTATCTCCTTTCTTGGGTTTAGAGTTTCCTCCTCTCGCAGTCACCCTAACTCGCTCCGGATTCTGGCACTCGCCTGCTCGGCTCATCACAGACTATGGCTTCCCAATCTGATAAACAGCCAACCCCATCCGACCAAACCAATCCCAATGCTTGGGAGCGGGTGGAGCGGAAATTCACCAGGTATGTTTAGGCGTTCGCCTCTTTCTGATTCTCACCGTCAATGTTCTCCTCCTTTTTTTAAATAATAGAGCGCAATCACGCGCTCGAATCTTCGAGCTCTTGGTTTGACTTCTCTCGTGCTGCTCCAACGATTCAATGGTTTCCATCCATCAAGGGAGAGGGGACAAGGTCGATCTGCTAGCCCATGACACCTACTTGTAGATAAGAGTTCATTACTGACACTCACCTGTTGTCTTTAGCAAACCGGCAAGCGAATACTTTGACCCATGTCAAGATTTCGCAGATCGAAGCCTCAAGTGCATGAAGCGCAATGGCTTCGATAAGGAGATGTGCTCGGATTATTTCCAGTGAGTTCACCAATTCGTCACAGGCATCTCCTCGCCTTCTACTCAGTCGCTATGATTGGTTGACTTGCTGTCATTTGTCTCTGAGAAATTATATATGGTGCCGTCTTCTACCTGTCAAGTGGCTAGAGTAACTCCTTTCCGGAGTTGCCTGCCTTTTGTGGTTTATCTACCCCATAGACTGACCAAATACTATCCAGGGCTTATCGGGATTGTAAGAAGGAATGGGTGAGCACGAACCATTACGCTTCTTTTTCTGCGGCCTTGCCACTCCCTTGCTGAGATCACCCCTCGGGGGAATGATTGCACGCCTATTCTTGGATTGCTTTCGGTCATAGATGGACTAACGCATCTCTCCAGTTAACGCAAAAGAAGCTTGGCTCGTCTGCAGCAAAACGCTAATTGAGGGCTTCTTGGGTTTCCTATGCTGCACTGGCTTGCATTCGGAACTGCCACCATCATAGTCGCCCTGTCAGCGCGCCTGTATTTACCAGTCCTTCAATATCTTCTGAGACAGAACCATGTTCTCACTTATCTCTTGCTCTCATTGGTGTGCTACCATTTTTGTTCAAGCCCAAGGCCATCGACATGAATGCTACTTTTCGGCGGTCTCAGCCATGCACCAGCAAGCCGCTTATATGTTCAGTGACTTGACGAAAACTCTGTTTCCAACACCTGCTGCTGTTATCGGGAAAGCGATTACGATTTCTGCCATGATATACCTGGCCTTCCTTCACTATTCCCCGGTTCGTCTGTACAGTGGGGGAGGTCTCATTTGGTCATGATCCTTCCTGGCGTTCATACTGCATGGCTTCAGTCATTGGTCTGGCTTCTGCTATCTGTATAATATATGTGTCACTATTATAGTAACCCCGGTCCCAACTCTTGACTCACAATACCAGAATTTGTTAGCTTTATGATATCTATTGCAGCATCATTGTAGTCGTGTTGCTTCACCGAACCACTAGTGGTAGTATTAGTAAATAGAAGTTTGGACAAGCAAATAAAGTACCGTCCTATTGAACTGAATTGGCGAAGTGTATACTCCGGGTTAGTTACTAAAATATACTACCGGTAGTACTGCTACCTAATGCTCTACAGAGCACAACATAGAGCTAACACCCTGTGTCTTCCTCCTCTAGCCCACCTTGCCAAAGCTACACTAGATGTCTCAAAGATCTTAGATAAAAATAAATAATGTTACTAGTCATACTTTCCATACTACTCGTGCACACTGATGGCTGCCGCAAGCATCAAATTCCCCGGCGGTCACCGCCTTCCCGCAGAGCTTCCCCGCCCACCAAACTCAGCAGAAAGCCGATAAAGAAAGTATGAGGAGACAGGCACCTTAATTTCTCCCCTCATCATCGCCGTATATACTACCCCGCACACCGTGTGCTGTGCTTGATCGCGCAGCATACGTTCCTGCCTCCTTGTTCTTCTTATAATTAAATAGACCCCTGGGATCTGTACCCCTCCGACTCTCCGAGTCTGCCCCTCTCGTCATGTCCACCAGTGACGCCGTGTTTCATCGGCGGAACAAGCAGGTTCAAGATGCCATTGATGGGCAGAACCTTAAGCAGGCTCTTCAACTGATTGATAAGCGCATCAAGAAAGGCGAAGACACAAGATTCCTTAAAGTGGGTAATAATTCTCTGCTCTATTTATGCATATAAAAACGCTACCTTCAATCGCTTACCGTGGTTTTGTCAACATACATCTGCTAACTAATGGATAAAGGCATGGAAGGCAAACATCCTGTTCCGTCACGCCGACGACGCAAACCGTAATCGCGGTATCTCAGAGACCCTCGAATTATGCAAAGCTGAACCGCCCACAACGGATCTCGACACCCTCGATATCCTTCATGAGACGCTGGAGCGGCTGCCCAACCATGCGGACACACTGAGGAGTATCTGGGAGAAGGCCTCGAAGGCCAATTCGAAAGACTTGGATATTCAAATGAGATGGTTCGAATATGCGTTTGAAGGCGACGACTGGAAGTCCGCACAAAAGGTCGGTACACTGCACGGGCATTGTTCATGGTTTCCGAAGCTGATGATTGTCTCTCGTTGGCGGATTCTTAGGCTGCTATGGCTCTTCAAAGTAACTTCCCAAAGACGAGGAAGTACCACTTGTGGGCCATCTTCCTTAGCTACCTCGTTTCCATCGACCAGGCTAGCTCCGAGGCTGATCGCAAACTTTTTGGAATGCTGGCCTACCGTATGATTTCGAAGGCTGCCGAAAGTGTTCCTTCCGATTCGGTATGTTCTTCTCCATTTCACCCCCGACCCCCGTTGGACGTTCTGTCCGATATGAGTCTGCTTCGATGGCTTCAATGGTGTAACAAAATGGTGATGATTGAAAACAGAAGGAATTGCTGAGCCCTCCCAGAGCTATCCAATCGGCCGAGGAGTTGCTATTGCTTATTAAGATCTTCGAATCCCAAGAACGTCATGCCGAGATTGTGAAGATCCTCGATAGCGAAAATCTTGGCATCAGCTCTCGCGTGATCCAGAATGACTGGTCATTTATTGGAGAGAAGCTTTCGAGCCTGGAAAAGGCTCAGATGTGGACCGACGGTCTGGCCTACACCAAGGGGCTGCTTGCGATCCCGACGAACGAAGCTGAACAAAAAGCTCTCCAGGAGCGTGACGACTGGGCTGTTTGGCACCTGCTCATTGCTGCAACCAAGAACATCAACACTTCAGAGTAGGTGCTCCGCTTCGTTGTGTGGCATATACAGCAGCTAACGTTATGCCCAAGAACCACGGATGCGACACGGAAGTTTGTTGACGAGTTTGTTGCGGCTGTACCGAAGTCCCGCAATGCGCAATTGGCTCGACTTGACCTGATGCACTGGTCCTTCCAGGCGGGTGTTCTGAAGGCCGAGGACCTGATAACCGCTTGTCAAGAGTACTTCGATCGCAATAAGCACAAGCTTTATTGCTTTGGCGATCTGCGAAGCTACGTTCCAACACTGGACAAAAGCTCTGTGTTGAAGTTTGTAGAATACGTATCTGCAAGCGCAGCTGGTAAAACTGATGTAAGTCACGAAGCTCGAAAAGGCTTAACTCCGGCTAACCCTTTCCGTTAAAGGAGGTTGCAAAGATCAATGCGCTCAAGTGCGAGTACTGCTTTTTACTGTCGGCAGACGAAAACAATGCATCCAAGGCAAAGGTTGAGGAGTTCGTTTCTCGTTGCCTGCAGGTCTATCGCGAAGTCGAGCGCCCCGAAAAGAGCTCAGCACCTTCTACTATCGAGAGTCAGCCCAGTGATGACTTGTGTCTGCTTGCGGCCATGAGCTTGATTCGCTTTAGTGGCGCATGGATTCCCGACAGCAGCGAGCAAGTCCCGGATACTGTTCTGATTCGCGCAGCAGCAATCCTGGAACGTCTTTTGGTTGACTCGCCTCATAATTACCAGGCACTGTTGCTTCTCGTGAGGATCTACCTCCGTCTTGGCGCAGGATCTCTTGCCCTTAAAACGTTCAGTAAACTCTCGGTGAAGCAAATACAGTTCGAGACGGTTGCTCATAACCTCTTCACCCGTCTCGCGACTATCCACCCGCACTCTGCACCACCAATCGAGGGAGCAGAGTACAAAGACTTCAACCCCCAGTCTGCTTTTATCCAGGCACTCAACTTCTACAAAACAGCCGATGTCACGACTGTTAGGAATCGTTCTAAGGGATTGGATTATGGAAGCTACTTCAACGTACAAGGCACCATTGATCTGCAGAAACGCCTTAAGCAGAGTATTTGCCGCAGAATGTGGGCTCTGGATGTGAGACGCATACAGCGACTGGCTGGTGGAGACCCTATGGGTCGTTACCAAGACATGGGTAAGTCAGGTTATCTTTAGTCCGAGGTGTGTTGCTCACACAAATAACAGCGAGAGATACATCACCTCTGGTCGACCAGCGTATTTTTGACGCATTCATGAATTGCGAAACGCCTGGCCAACCCACCTTTGAGGAGCGAATGCGCCTGGGACCCCTGCCTCGTGTAAGCTAATTCTCGTCCTGCGACCCGTGGATATGGCTGACCAGTCTAGGATCAATGGATCAAATCGACAAGGATGACTGACCATCTCTTTGACCTTCTCAAATCTATGACTGCTCAGAAACCCGTCTCTGTGGAACCTGAGTTGCCTAGGTTTGAGGATGTTGTGGGACCTGAAGCGGAAGTTGAAATGACCCCGTCAGAGATCGAAAGTGCCAGGGTGAACCTTAACATTCTAACCTTGGCTTTGTTCCTGAACGGATCGAAGTCAGTCACCTCGGAACAGGTGGATACCTGTCTCACCCAAGTCGAGGAGTGGCTGGAGTCCAAGCTCAACGACGTCACTGTGAACGACGCCAATATCTCGCCAGTAATATCCAATACGGCAATCTACGTGAAACCAGAGGCCCCAACTGCTCCGTCCTGGAGGTACTTCCATAGCCTTTTCACGGTACTCGACTCGCTTAAGGCCCTGTCCCTTCTCTACACAGTTGGGTTGAGAAAGGGCACCAAGGGCAAGCTGCCGAAAGAACGTGTCGAAAAGTTGGCTGACAGGACACGCCAAGTCCATCAGGGTGTGCGAGCCAATGTTCGAGCCCTCAAGTCTTTCATCTCTGCTGCCGGTGTTCTCGGCTCGCTGACTGATTTGGTCGTGGCTGGTTCTGGAAGCGAAGATGGCACCCAGCTCCGTACCGAGCTGGAAAAGACTCTGGACACAGCTGCTTTGGAGGTGTTCTGTGGCGAGCTGATGGAGAGCTGGGAGGAAGGTCTTGGTGGGGTGTTCGCCGTGTCTATGTAAAACTCAGCGAAAGCAGCATGCATTGAAGCGAGTCATGAGAATCAGACAATCCATCCTTAGCCAAGTTTCCCCATAACAATATAATCTATCCACTAATATCTTTCTCGGCGTGTGACATCCGCACCCAAGATGGCAATTGCTACGATCCGGGACCATGGGCAAGTCTGATATTTCGGTTTCAGAATGCTTCCCACATCTGTCGTACAGTTGGACCCCAAAGGCGCCATTGAGAAAAATTGGCATGTAAGACAGACGTGACCTTGGAGTTAGAAGAGCCCTCACGAGACCTGTATGTGAGAATGCTCATCTCTCTGCTACAACGAAGATTCGGTATTTCACTTTGATTCCGATCACGCACGGCTGTCCCATGTAACCCATGCCCTTGGGTCAGAAACATGGTCGATGAGTCTAGCGAATCGAAACAGCCAGTGAATGAGACGGTGAAGCACCAGGGTAAGCTCGACAAGCAAAGAGAGGGTCACACTAGCATTGCAGCGTACTTTCCCCGACCCATTGGCGTGGGCACTTCCACAACCCTCCCAGAGTTGTACCACCCACCAGTTCCCCGGCAGGTTGTGACGCCTTACTATCCAGGGGAAAGGGTTTCCAACTTCGTTTGGGACGAGTGTTTGATCCTCATGGCTAGCAAGGACAGGGTCCTGCAAGAACTAGTTACACCCTAGAATGTATCACGTTTGTCGCCTTGGGGCCAGGAACAGAACAAGGGTTATAAACTCCGGTTGTCGGCTTGGTAGGCCTAGTTAATGGGATTGTTGCTGATGTAGCTCTTTCCCTTTGTCTGGTGGACGAAACCATGGCTGAGGTCTACTTGAATGGAAACTCTTCCTCACCCTCTTATGACTATCGCTACTCGCATCAGCCTTGGAATGTGGTCACTCAGACGGCGTGTCTTGTCCTGAGTACTGGCTTTGTTGCCATGCGGCTGTATTCGAAGATCCATATCACGAAAGCGCCTGGTTGGGAAGACTGTATGTGGGATCTTGTTGTTATTCGTTTTGGGCTCGTTGATGAGGTGCTGATGAGCTGTGTTCTAGGGACTTGCTGTCTGGCTTGGGTATGGAACAACTCCTGCTTGCC